CATCATATAATTGCATTATGGATAAATAAAATGCATAGATAGGCGTAAAAATGATTATTTCTAACACCACAACACTCAATAAAGGTTGCAAGAATATTGTTGCTGTATGACTTATATGACAGTAGAAACAAAAAGATTTTGTTAACATTTGATGGATTTCTTGTTATTATAGATTCAGTCACTAAAGATCAACTATTAGTTTATCAAAGACATTTTGACAAGATATGAAAACTGACAAAATTATTCTGAAAGGATACTATTGCAAATCCACAGGATAGAGGAATGATTTCAGGGCTTTTTTTGAAGTTAATTGCCATCCTAGCAGTAAATCACATTTTAACATGCATGCAAATGGGTCAAAAATCAGTATCTGAGAGCATAAATGGCAAATTATTGTTAGTGGTTAGTATAAAAACTTTTTAAGTAAGAATTTTTGCGTATTTAATTTATGTATGCATATGTGTGCATATCTATCTATTTATATATCTACATATATCTATATCTATATCTATATATCTATATCTATATATCTATATCTATATATCTATATCTATCTATATATATATATATATATATATATATATATATATATATATATATATATATATATATATATATATATATATATATATATATATATATATATATATATATATATATATATATATATATATATATATATCTATATCTATATCTATATATATATATATTACAGTCGTGGCCAAAAGTTTGGAATCACCCAATATTTTTCAACAAAAACCATGTTTTTTCTAATTTATTGCATACAAATAAAGATAGTATAGCACCAATTCATATAATACTGCATATTAGACTAGAGTATATAGCACCTACAATGTTGAACAAATCTAACAATATAAAAAGTTGCAAAAATTTAATATTTGGTAGGATAACCGCGGTTCTTTAATACAGCCGCAATTCGACGTGGCATGCTCCAAACAAGTTTCTTGCACAGTTCTGGTGTTATCTCTTTTGTCCAAACTTCCACTAGCTTCCTCTGTAAATCTTCAATATTCTGTGGCACCTTTCTTCTCACTTTACGCTTCAGTATGGTCCACAAATTCTCTATGGGGTTAAGATCGGGGCTGTTACCCGGCCAGTCGAGAACGGATACCTTGTTTTTCTTGAAGAAGACTTGCATCACCTTGGAAGTGTGGCATGGAGCATTGACTTGCTGAAAAATATGGTTGTTCTATGTGACTCCATGCTTGGGAGCAGCTTTTCCTGTTGAATTTCCTGATAAATCTGAGAATTTACTCTCTGCCCCTTCGGTACAAAATGTAACCGGCCGCGAAATCGAGCTGAGAAGCAACCCCACACCATTATTGACGGTGGATGTTTTACAGTAGGCACAGTGTACTTCTGAACATACCTGGATCCTTGTGGTCTTCTAACATAAAAACATGATGTCCCAAATTGTTCAAATGTGCTTTCATCAGAAAACATTACTTTCTCCCAGTCCTTCTCTTTCCAATGTTTGTGCTTTTTGCAGAATTCCAACCTCCTCTTGCGTTGAGTGTCATTCAAGGCTGGTTTCTTGGCAGGTCGTCGAGCAGGACGCTTTAGATCAATCTGCAGCACACTTCTGATCGTTCTTGTGCTTGGTAGACTTGCTTCAGCATTTCCAGGACTCAAATCATCCAGAATCCCATATGATGACAGCTTGGGATTATTCTCCACAATAAACTTGATGCGTCTTGTCAACCTTTCAGTCACTTTTTTTGGTCTGCCACTTCTCCCACGTGACGAAAATGTTCCACATTGTGGAATTCTACTTAATGTCTTACTAAGACAAGATTGTGATACATTTACAATTTTTGCAATATCTCTAGTTGAATTTTTTTGTTGAGCTAATATAAGAATTTGACCTCTAATAACTTCTGATAATTCCTTCTTTTTTCCCATTAAAATGATCAAAAAATGTAATTAAAACTGCTGCTTAGCTACCACAAATGGTTTAACTAAATACCGGAACAAAAACAACTAAATAGAATTAATATTTCTCACCAAGGTTCGACAAAAATACAAAAAAATGAAAAGTTCACATGTGATTCTAAACTTAAGGCCACGACTGTAGCTGTCATGACCCTTAAAATACGGGTCTTTAGGATATTGATGCACACTTTATCCGCGTGCTTACAGTTCATAAGAACTATTATCCGGTTTATAACGCAAGATAATCTCAATCAAATGAAAACATCTAAATGATAACTTTTAATGTCCTAGATACGAAGATTAAACTTATTGATTGCGTAAACACTAACTTTAACATAAATGGCATTTGCGAGACACTTCTTGCAACTTATGTCAAAATTTAATGGTGACTCTAAAATCCTAAAGGATAGGGGGGAGACGCTTTTTTTGTCGCTTTTATCTAAATTCTAAAAAAAATATCAAACAATGTAATAATCTAAAAATAATAATATGATAATGTTACTATCAATGTAATAAATCTAAATCCAAAAGTCAAGGATTAGAAAGATGTAAGAAAAAATTTGTAAAAAATTCTTTTTTTAAGCCTTAAATTTTATCTTTTTTTAAGTATTTAACTAAGCATTTAACTAAGCCTTGTGGTGATTAAAACCGCATGGAAGTAAAACTCGATTGGCATTTTGTTTAAAAAACCTAGGTTGGCACTTTGTACCACAGCGATATTTATCATATACAAATAAGCTGAATTTCTGTTTTTGTATATTTGATCAACAAAGTTTTTTCTCAAAAAGACTTGCAATATGTCAAGAAAGTTGAAAACTAAGTGTTAAAAGACTTCACGAAAAAACAAAATTTTGAAATTTGTGAACGATTTTTTTTCTCTCGTTAGCGAAGTTGGTTCTGTGTCAAAATGCGAGGATCAAACTTTTGATTAATATCTTTACATATGTTGTCTATATACAATATCTATAAAACTTTATAAGTATTTGAATTTGTATTTAAAAAAATCTAAAAAAAAATTTAAACAGTAGACGCCTACGTTAGGACTCGAACCACGGCAACCATATCCCGAAGCCCAGCGCTAACCACTCGACTACGCTGACGCAATAAGACCTAAAGATTCAAAATTATATAAAAATTGTTTTTAATGGATATAAATGTAAAAGATTAGAAATCGGTATTATGCTAATATTAAATAGTTTAACTTTTAATTATTTTTAGAAACAATAAATTTTGTAAAATAATTTAGTGTACATATAAAATTAAATATATAAACTATATATAAACATGTTTTTTACTAATTTTCCTTGCTCAATTTAGTTGTAAATAAACTTGAAAAGTTTAACTAAAATAAAATAAGTATCTCAATAATGACACATGCGCAAAAAAAATAAAATAATAGGTCGCCGATGGGAGGACTTGAACCACGGCTAACTTGGTCAGAAGCCCAGCATGCTAACCACTATACTACGCTGTCACGTAGTGATTTGAAGATTTTAAATTATATAAAAATTGTTTTTTAACAGATAAAAACACAAAAGATTAGAAATTAAGCAAAGGTTGACGAAATGCAGTTCTTAAGTGAAAATCAAACTGTTGAACTTGATATATGTTTAAGCATGTTTTAACATTACATAACATGAAGTTTATGTACGTACAATATGAGTTTCACGTTTGCCCGTGTTTTCTTATAAAGCAAAGGTAAGACTCTTTCTCGTCACTACCTCGGATGCAATGGTTGCCAAGAGTATCGTGTCAAACAGGCTCGAAAGCGCACTACTACTACTACTATTATTAAGTCCAGTATTATTAGAAAAAGATAATACTAAAAAGCCCAAATATAATACAAAAAAACTTTTCAAATAACTGACGTCAGCAGATTTTATTAAAAAATGGCACCCAAGTTTTAGTTGTCACGTTATCACCGTCATCCCGATTGAGAACCACATCACCATTTCTCAACTCCTGTGGAACCCTAGCCTTGCTTATTTTGAGTGACTCTCTGATTTTCCGAGTTTGATATTCTGGGGCTACAGATAATGTTTTGGGTTGCAACCAATTTGGGTTGCAAACTTACCATGGCATGTTTTAGAATGTTCAGTTGCACCCGAACTGGACCATTTTTATTTTAAGCTGTTTTTCTGGTGTTCAATACATATCGATATCACCTTCTTTTTAGTTTCGCCAATGCATATCGAACCACATGAACATTTTAGCTGGTATACACCAAGGTCTGTGTTTAGTGGTAGTTTAGTTTTATTGTTGCAAAAAATATTTTTTAAAATTAGGACTTGATGTGAAAATAACCTTTATGTTTTGCTTTCGAAATTCTTTATGAAGTGTAAGTGAAATATAACATAGTAATTGTTATAAAAAGTTACCAAAATATATCTTAAATTAGAAGAACAAATAAATAATAGCAAAATTATTATGATCCAACATCCACATTGATTACTAAATTTCAAAGACAATTGTGCAAATTAAGAAAAGAAGGTAAGCTAGACACAAATACATACTTTAAAATGTATTCATCAGATTGTAACCCACCAGAGATTTACGGAATGATTAAAGTTCACAAACCAGAAAAAGATTACCCATTGCACCCTGTTGTATCAACAATTAACACACCACCTTAAGAAACATCTGATTATCTTATTAAAATTATTCAACCAACTCTGAACAAAAATAAAAGTAGACTTATGAACTCTAATAGTTTTGTAAATGAAGCTAAGCAATGGATAATAGATCCTAACAAAGTTCAAGTTTCATTTCATATAGTCAATTTATATCCATCCATACCAATTGACGACGCAATTCTGGTTATTATTGATATATTGAACGCTGACATTGATGACTTAAAAACTCGAACTAAACTTAATCTTGCAGACATCATCAATTAATTGAACTTTCATTAAGTATATGCTATCTTTTATATGAAAACAATATCCGAATAATACCTAATTCAGGTCCTATAGGTTTATCTTTAATGGTTGTTGTGGCGGAAGCGTTTTTACAAAATATAGAAAGAAAAGTCCTTAACATAGCAATTATTCATACATCCGAACCAAAAACGTACAAAAACACCTCCAAAAAGAAATTGATTTTCTAATAGACATCTTCAACCCTCGGAATTAGAGTCAGCATTCAGTGTTTGTGGTCGGCAAAAAATTGTTGCCCTTGTTTTTATGTTTTATGGTCAGACCTTTGTATCAAATAACTTTTCTGACCTCAAAAAGATTAAGGCCGGCAAATTATTGCTGACCTCGTTTTTCCTAATTTCAATATTGCATCTTTGTTGAAAATGGCCACGACAAGAACATTCTAAATAGTATTACTATAGACTATTTAAAAAACAGTTCAAAAAACACCACATTTCAACCATTTGATACTCAACCCTTTATAAAACTACCTTGGATACCAATTGTTGGTCCAAAACTTCGTAAAGAATTTTGAAAGCAAAACATAAAGGTTATTTTCACATCAACTCCCAATTTAAAAAATATTTTTTGCAACAATAAAACTAAACTACCACTAAACGCATACCCTGGCGTATACCAGCTAAATTGTGCATGCAGTTCGATTGCTGCATTCATGAGTGTGTGTATATTTACATATATAAAAGTTTATATAGTGTATTGTTATACTGACATTAGTCAGACTACATATTTTTAAAAATTTTAAAAACACTTTTGCATATAGAAATAATTACCCGGTCTAAATCTGGGTGAACTATAGCCACATAATCGTTACAAGCAACAACATTTCCGAGTGCAGATAGTCTCTCTTCAACACGCTGTAACTTAACACCAGATGGAAGTGAATTACGAATGTGCTGAAGTTCCTAAAAGTTTTCAATTAAAAAAACATTTAAAAAGCTGTTGATAGTTTTGACATTATAAGTCATAAATTTTATTGTTATAAGTTATTTGTCAATGTATATAAAAATTTTCTACCTGATCTGTAGTGGTATTAGGAACAATTAATCCATGCCTGTTACCTTGAAAAAAATACATTCCCAATTGAAATAAACTTATTTAAATTATTTAAATTGTCATTTGAGTTCACAGGTTTTAATGTTTAATTTAAAAAATATATATATAAAAAATTTTTTTTTAAAAAAAAAGTAAATTTACCAACGCTTAGACGTCCAACAATAGCTGTGTCTGCTAAAGAAGCATGAAACACTGGAATGACATCTGATAACTCACCTTCAAAAACACTAAAAAATAAATCAACTTGCAAATATATAAATAAACAAATATATAAAGTTTGCTTTAAATTTATTTCTTACCTATAAAAGTTCTCAGAAGCACCAACACCAACCATACAATATGTATTAGTGAGTTTTGCATATACTCCAATTTCATTACTATTTTCATAACGAGCACGCACTGCCATAATTATTTGATTACTTAATATGAAGTTATAACAAACATAAATTGACTATCAAATTCACTATATATCAAAAAGTTGCAGTAGCAGAGATATAGCAACCTCCATACTAGTAGTAGTAGTAGTAGTAGTAGTAGTAGTAGTAGTAGTAGTAGTAGTAGTAGTAGTATTACAATTAATTTGATTCAGTATTTACAGGCTTTGCTAATAAGGTTTTGTGGTTAAGAACCAAAAGTAGAGAATAAAGATTGACATAAATTAGAGAAATGATTTAAAAAGTAGACTGTTTTATTCATAAACAGCAAGTAAATATATGATAACAATGTTATGTTTACTAAAGTTTAGTTTAAAAAAACTCAAATAAATTTTATAAAAAGAATATTTAGTGACAAATTTTATTAATTTTTGCTCCTAAAATATTTTAGGTTTGTTGTTTAATGATTTACTTAGGTAAACTGTTCTATGGGTTCACTATTCAGTTTGTAAAGAAATGGTCTCAAATTTGTATTGCATTTGATGAAAATATTTTTTAATGTATTTGATGAAAACATTTATAGAATTAAATTAAATATATAAATAATTTAAAAATCAAACTATAAATAAACAAAATCAATCATCAAAGTCAAATATCATAACCAAAACATATCAAAATTTCAATATGAACTCATGTTAGAGAATTCCTCTTGAAATTGCCTCCTCCCATAATGGACTCTTTAAGTCACTAATAAAGAGGACATGTAAAGTACTTAATACCTAAGCAAGCATTTTGGCACCAATCTTGCTAAATTTCATATATAATCAAAACAATACCTATATATAACAATGTTGTTTTGAAATCAATGAAGTTTAATATACTTGATTAGGCACTTTTCTGGTAGTGAAAGAAGTTGGATTTCTGCATCTTTTTGGTTATTTTTGATTTATTTACAGAATTACTTTTGTTCATAATTTATTGGCATTTAACTTTTAACAAAATAAATATTTATAAATTAACATAGAAGTTTATTTGCTGAGATAATATTTAAAGATAAGATTTAAACAATTAGACATAATACTTTATTACCTATTATTATTATTTAGACTTAAAACTACAAAATAATTTTATTATTTAAAATCTCTAAATTGACAAAAATATCATACATTTATTTTTCTACCTAAAAAAAAAAAAAGAAAAAGAAAAAAAAGAAGAGAAAATAAATTTACAAAAATAGTCTATTGATGCTTGTCTATAATTAAGTTAAATTTTAACAATGAAGTTAAATTTTAACAACTTGTTATTTTAAGTATAACTTCCTTCTAATCTTCTTCATTTAAAACTTTCTTTGCATGATTACCTTTGACATCTCTCATAAAATAGCAAGTAGGGAACACTACCTTGCTGTTTGCGCAAAACTTGGTTAACATTAAGTGTTTTTATTATATTATCATCAAAGTTTACCCAACCAAATGGACTGCCATGATGCACTGAAGCAGTATAATGGCCACCTGCTGCATGTTTACCATGATGATGAATAACTAAAAAATTATAATTAAAAAAACGCTTGAAATGTGTAAATACCAAAAGCATTAAACAAAACACAACATTTTCAAAACAAAAATATATAATAATAAATAATTAAAAAAAACAAAACATAATGTTAAACAAACTGTTTGTAAAACAGTTTGTATATCTATAAAATATATAAAATATAGTTTGTATATCTATAAAATAATAAAGATTAACAAAAATTTTTATATTAATATACATAAATATCAAATATATTTTTTATAAAGCAATAAATAATAGTTGCGAGAAGTGCTTCTTGCAAACTAATATAAACTTTAATAAATAAAGGCTGCATAGAAGTAATTGCTAAAAATGCAACTTGTGCATTACACTGGCTAAAGAACTATCAGAAACAAAATCAAATTTATTTTGCTATATTCAGCAATATTTCTGTAAACTATCCTTACAGCAGACGCCAGCCTGCTGTAAGGATAGTTTACAGAAACATAGCGGGGGTATTACTGCCCAAATTATTCTTTCAGAATAGCCCCTGAGTTGGGTCCTTAACTTGAATAAACCTTAAAAAATAAATTTAGAAATATTTGTTAAAGCAAATTATTTGTTGAGTTATTAACAAAAACTTTATCATTTTTAACAACATATTTACAAGGAAATATTTACCGGCTTGTAGATTTTTTCTTTTAAAAAAAGCTGGTCATTTATTGTTATCACAATTTATTGTTGATATAACAAGTATTGTTATAAAAATATATAAATATAAATAGTTAAATATTTTAATTTTTTGTGTTTACTTTTTTGTTAAGAATAAAAAAAATCTTCTGTTATATAACTTGCATTTTAATTTTTGGGTTTTTCCTTTTAACAAACAATATATTACACAAGAACTTATGGAAAAGTATTTCCTCTCGAATAATAAAACAATTTAAAAACTACCCGCAAAAACTTATTTTAGACCACTAAAAAGCGTTTTCTGATTATAAGTTGCCACAGCAACGCTCACTGAGAATCAAAATATTATTAAAAAATAAATCTTTTTATAACTTATCACCTAACTGAGAAGCATTACTTAGAAGTTTATAGTTTTCAAATAAAGTGCTAAATTCAAATTTATTATAAATATTAAATATAAATTTAGTAAATTGTCATGATTTAAAATTTACTTGATTAATAATGAAAAATGAAAATTCAATCATCATCAAGTCAACAAATGAGAAGAAACATGAACTCTACAAATATGAAGTAAATATAATTATGTTTCCTGGTAACATTACAAAACCAGTTTTTATAGTTAATTGCATCATTGCTATTTTGTGCTTTAGGTTGGCATAGCTCCAACACCAATCCTGTTATTAAAAGTAACAACAGCAACAGGTAAATAGAATAGTAGTATTTATATGTGATATCATAACTCCTTTTTATATTTACATATCATAATTGCTTTTTTCTTTAGTTTAAATTTATCTTATGATGCTTTTGATAAAGACTGACCCTCCTTTTTTGAAGGAGTGGCTCCTTTAGAAGGCAAAATAGGCACATCTACAATTAGTATTTTTAAAGTTTAGTAATCTATTTATTCTACATAGTTAAATATTTTTTAATAACTTTTTATGATTTGTTATTTTGTATATACTGTAATTGTAAATAATATAAATTTTTTTTTAATATATTTTTTTGTTCTTCTTTGAAAATAAGAATTTTTGTTGTGTTTTGTTGGTAAATAAACTTTTTTTAAAGATAAATTTCGTTCCTTTTTCACCAATTTTAAATAATTGTGTAAACAAATTTAAATTAAAATAAATTTAAATAAACTAATTATACTTGAAAATTAATTATACTTAAAACTTAAATTAGTAAATACTTTAGTTTTATATTTTATTATATTTATACTTAAAACTTAAATTAGTAAATACTTTAGTTTTATATTTTATTACTGTGGCAAAAGCTCATTTTGATTTAAAATGTTTACTTTATTTACTTTTAGTAAACTCTTTTTAACCTGCGGGGTGACAAATGCGGGGTGGATGCAAGGGGTCCATTTTTAATGCAAGGGTGGATGCAAGGGGTCCATTTTTAATCATATGTTGAAAATGTTTATATTTAACTTTATGTACTGTTTTGATTTTTTAAACAAAGACAAAACTTTTAATCTAATTTTGTTTTATTAGTGATATAACTTTTAGACGATCCCTTATGTAATTAATTGGGTAAACCTGTGCATCTAACAGAGTAGAGACAATTTGGTACAAAGATAATACAATCAAACCTTTTTTTTAAATAAACAAACTGGGTAAGAGTTCTAACAAGCTTAAGGTAGTGGAAAAAAGCAAAAAATTAATATGCGTTTGTTAGAAGTTTTAAAATATAAAAAATTTATTGCTAACCAAAAGCCAAGAATTTTAAATCAGTTAATTTTCTGTTGTTTACTAAAACTTATTAAAGAGTCCAAATTAAGAACGGTGCGGAACAGATTTAACATTACCTGTATCGCATGGGTCCTGACAGCTAGTAATATTTATAATACTGTAATACTTTTACTAACATTTAAATAATAAAAAAAAAAAACAGGTGAATTTTTTATTTTTTTACTAATTCTTTATATATACATTTGTTATTCAAGCTATAATACATAAAGACAAATTAAAAAAGAAAAACTTGTGTGTAAATTAAAATGTTTAATTAACTCAAAACTTATATTCTAATGTTCATTTATGAAATAAACGCAACTTCTCTGGGGATTCCTTTAAGTATGTTTTTTATGGGTTAAAACTGATTTCAATTTTGGCCATTTTTTAAAGTTGATCTAACTGCTAATTAGTTAAAATTAAATGTCCATTTTAGTTTTTTTTTTTTTACTGTCTTGTTAAAATCAATAATTGTTCATTTTGTAGGAGTGGCAGAATCTTTACAACTCACCAACTGAGTTGTAACCATTTGGTTATTAATGATTATAATGGGCATCTTAAGGAAGTTGTACGGACTTGTATAAACTAAGACTCATTAAAGACGTTATACAGGCTTGGACAGGAATGACATCCAATCGAGCGCTATTGCTGACCACGCAAATGATTTTATTTTTTGATACTTGACCACGACTGTTGAGATGTTTAGATGATTTTTTAACATTTTAGAAATGCACTCAAAAAAGAAACGCTAGCTAAACTTAAACTAGGAAAAACATTAAAAAAAATAACTGCTTTTAAAATAAATTACTCTAAAACTTACCTTTTGAAATGTTTTATTAAAGTTATGCAAAACGCTTTGACAAATTACTTTGAATGATTGTTTAATGAATAAACAAATTTTATTTAAACTATTAAAAAGTGTTATATATATTATTTTTAAATTGTACAAATTTGTACATTTTTTCAAAAAAGTTGCAAAAAAAAAAAAAAAAAAAAAAATTTTTTAAATACTGTTATCTATTTAAATTAGTAATTTTTAATCATTTTATGCTCTAATTAGTTAGTCAAGTTGAAAAAAAAAGTTTTTAACAATTCTAAAAAAAAAAAAAAAAAAAAAAAAAAAAAAAAAAAAAAAAAAAAAAATGAAGCAATTAAATTATTCCATTGCAATGAAAGATTTAATTTATGTCAAAAAGTCATAAAAAAATTATTTTAAAGGTTTAAATTTATCATAAAAACACATGCCTACATAAAAAATATTTAAATATAACATTATTTGTTAATTTACAGAAAATGTGTTTATTTTAAACAAAGAATTGTACAAAAAATTAAAACGTGTTTACTTAAATTCATATTTGAAATGTGAAAAAATTCTGAAAGTCGATACAGCAATTCCATGATACGTATTAATGTGTTTTTAATCAAGAAAACAATAGCTTGCGTTATTTACATCTTTAAAATAAAAAATATACTTTAATGTAATATTGAAATAACTGTAATAAAAACTAAACTATTCATAATTTTTATTTATATTTTTACAGATAAAGCTCAAAACATACGAACAATTCATAAAATAGAAAGTAGAAAATAACTAAAAATTTATCCTAAAGAACATATATTTTACCAAAATAATATAAATTTAAAAAAATTTTTATACACAAATATTATAAAATTGTGTTTCCTCAATAAAAGCAAAACATAGAGACATGCGGAATTGCTGTATATCTGTTGAATGATTTTTCATAAACAAAACAAATAAAAGTTGCATAAATAAAAATTTCAATGAATCAGCAAATTGTGGCATTATATAAAACTTATAAGGTTATTATGTTATTATTGTGCTACTTGTAATAACTTTTATTTTTATCTAATATTGACCTTTTCTGCCATAATATGATTAATTAGAAAAAACATTCAATATATTTTGAACTTAAATTAGAGTCCAAAATATATTGAACTTAAAAAAATCTTTTAGATATTAAGAATTTGAACATAAAAAACTTAAAACAGAGAAAAAAAAAAATTCTAAAAACCTTACCTGCATATAGCCTGTATTGTCTTTCATTTAAAGAAACTTTCAATGACGGTGATAACACATCTATAAGTTAAAAAAATTGAAAACCAATATTTAAAACTAGAACTTTTTAGTTAACTTTTTCTGAAAAATTAAAAAAATATATTTAAATAAACTTCTATTATGAAATTATTAATAAAACTTATTTTCTATATTTTAGCTCACTGAAAAGATTTTTTTTTAAAAGATTTCTAAATAAAATTTTAAACATAAAAACAATGTAATAAAAACAACTTAAAATAGAAAGATAAAGAAAAATGAATTATGATAAATATATATATATATAAAAAAACAACAATTGCAACCTTTAGGTATTTCAAGATCAACAGGTATATCAATAGCTTTATAAATTTTTTGACTTCCACCAGTTCTGTCGTAGACAAAATATTTTAAATGGAATATAAGGACTAAAGGAAGTTCTTCAATTGATAACTTGCGCGATGCTTCTACCTATATATATATATATATATATATATATATATATATATATATATATATATATATATATATATATATATATATATATATATATATATATATATATATATATATATATATATATATATATATATATATATATATATAATTAAAAATTGATTAGAAAATATTAGCATTTTATAAATATTAGCTTTTTTATTGAAACAATTTAATATTTTGTTAATATTATTTTATTTTGTGTTTCTTCTTATTTTCATATTTGTAAAGTTTCTTGGTTACTACTTTGTGAATCATTTTATTCCAATTTGAAAAGTTTAAAAATTTGAATGAATAAGTTCAATACTTTTAAAATTGTTTTTGTGTTACACGATTCAAATAAAAGCGAACAAATTTTTATTACTGTATTAATAAAATGTTTTAAATAAGTGTGTTATTTTTTTTAACTTTGATGAAGTCATACTTTAAATACGAAGTTTAAAACGCAGCTATAAAAATATTGTGTATTAAAAAGTATACTTTATTTAAAAAAATATAGTTTTTAATTGAAAATATAAAACTTAAATTAGCTTTTTTAAAACTTTAGTTTATAAGTATATGAGGAGGCCATTTGCAAAACACGCTAAGCCCGAGTAAACTGATTTTGAGAAAACAACAAAAACTAAACTACTTTTAGTTGCGCATCAACAGAAATTGATATTTACTTTGTCCATTTTTAGGACCAAAAAATTAATAATTGGTCCAATATTTAAATATATGATAGATTTTAGTATATAGAACATGGAAATAGAATTAATTTAAAAATTTTGTTTTGTGTTAAGTTGTGACTAAGCGCCTTTTGCAGATGGGCTCCTCATATATTATATATATATATATATATATATATATATATATATATATATATATATATATATATATATATATATATATATATATATATATATATATATATAATATATGAGGAGCCCATCTGCAAAATCTATTCTAAAAACTGTGCCTGCCTATAACAACATTTCCAAAAAATGTACACTGTGTTTGCAAGAAAAATTTGAAATTATTACCCATTTGGATCAACAAAATTTACTAAACGAAAAATCTGAATTATTTTCTGCAGACATGAAAATAAGTTCCTTTTAAATAATTATAAAAACAAATGAGCAGACTAAAATTATCCTAATTCTAAAGAATTCTTTTTATGAATATTTTGTTTTATTTTAATGTTATTGATGAAAATTCCTGGTTGCTAAACAACTACACTTATTACATAATTATAACAATTCCTAACTTCCTGTAAAAAATTTTTTCTGTAATTTGAATATTTTGATGTTAAGACATTCTTCCAGATCAACAAAATTGATAGTTATTTAAATAAAATAGTTATTCTCAATTATTGTTTATTATTGATTTAAAACTTAAATTAAACTAAAGTTGTAATTAAAATTTTTTATATATTTTAAAATTATAATCTACTTAAGAATTTTGTTTTAAATTTGAAAGATAAATTGTGCCACACAAAATGTTATGAATTCAAAAAATTAATTTATAAGTCTGTAAATATACATTGGGATAAATAGAGAAAAAAAAAATGTGTAAAAAAAAAAAGTCAAGTAATAAAAAACCTCAGTATTTGTTTTAGAACAAGTGAACCCTTGAAGAATCTCTTTAACAAAATACGATTCTATTGCTTTTTCTAAACACCAGATTTCATCCCCCTAAAAAAAAAAAAAAAAAAAAAAAAAAAAAAAAAAAAAAAAAAAAAAAAATCAATACTCATTTCCTTGTAAATCTTATTTTAACATTAACTTTATTGTGCCATTTGAATATAAATACACTAATGTAAATTAACATAATTATTCATAGTTATCAAATACACATTGACATTAATTTAAATATTAATTCATAATAGTTATAAATACATGAGCATAAATATTATTATTAGGTTTATAATTTTTTTTAATTTTTACATGTTGAAGTTACATAATTTATAAACTTTATTATTTTTTATACTTATGTGGAAAAAAATGTTTACAAACAAGGTTGGTTACAAATAAGGTTGCTGCAAGCTGCTTGTGAAACAAGTTGAGCATGGCTCTAGCAGGGATAATGTAGGATTTGAGCTTCATACTTTTTACTTATATAGACACATTCTACCGCTAGATGATAATGACACAGACAATGTGCATTCAGATGGCATTGTCAATTGGTTTTGCCAAGCAACTTAAAAATTTTATAAATCTCATACAGAACATTGTTTTTAATAATGTCATACAACACTGTTTTGTTTTAAACCTACAATTTATTTCAAGAAATATAGAACTCCAAAATGAAACTTACTTAATTGGAAATGAATTTACTTAAAATATACATAGATATCAATATAAAACCTATATAAAATTTAACAATACTAACTCATATTTAAAAAAATCAAGTTTTTTAAGAAAAAAAAATTTAATATAACTTTTTAATTTAATTTAATGGTTACTTAATCAATGATATATATAACTCTATATCATTGATTAAATATATCATATTGATTTTTTTAAAAATGCTATTCACTTTCCTAAGGCAGATTTAAATTTATTGAATAACAAAATAATTTTAGGGGTGCCACAAGACCCTTACACATCAGGTCCCTAATATCAAAAAAAGTTTCGAAATTTATGTCATGTTGGGTCTCAAATGAAGCAAAATTATATAAAGCTTTCAAAAATATGAATTATTTGATAAAAAAATTATTATTTTAGATTTTAGTAATAAGAAAAATAGTTAATAAATAATTATTTTAGATTTTATTAAGTAGAAAATGACATTGTTTAACTTTAAACAAAAAAAAGAAGTTCAACAAGATTTTTTAATTAGAATTTTTTTTTTTCCCAATATTTTTTATAGAATTATTATTTTTGAAATTTTTATTAAATTTCACTTTATTAGAGACCTAACATGACATAAAATTTTTGTTGTTGTTGTTAATAATAATGATGATAATAATGATAATGAACCTGTTTGATGTTTAAGGGTCATATGTAGCCGCCCTATTTTTTTTTTTTTAAATCTGATATTATTTTATTATATAGAACATATTTAGGGGGTGCAAGCAGACATTTTCAAAAGAGTTATTTTTAGCACCAACCTATATGCTGCATTAATAAGTTGATTGTCAAGAATACAACGTTTGGATACCATAATTGATAGTTGACTAGTGCTCAAAGTAAAATGTTGCAAAAGTTTTGGACAAGTGAAGAGTTTTTGTGTTTGAATTTACATGTCATATTCAAAATTTTCATCAAAAGATAGATACAAAATCCTAACACCCCTTATGCATCTTAGTTACAAAATCTTAACACCCCTTATGCTGTAACATTACAATACCTTATATTATTTGATTTTAGATGTTACGTTAAAAAAATTTACAGCAGGATTTTGTATGAAATAAAAAAAGAACTTCAAGAATAGTTTTTAGACAACTTTTGGTCAATTTAGGGTTCCGAAAAAAGGGTTTGGGGGACCACTTCCTATTATCAGTTTAAAATTTTTTTCACCTATATATTTTTTTAAATCAAACCTCACCAAATAGGAGGTTGTGCAATTTAAAATTAAAAAATTTCCATATAAAAAAAACCACCCTAATATATATATATATATATATATATATATATATATATATATATATATATATATATATATATATATATATATATATATATATATATATATATATATATATATATATATATTAGGGTGTGCAGTCGCACGCCTTGTACGTCCACGCTTAAAGTAATTTTTTAAGATAACTTGAACACATTTTTTAATAGTAAGCGTTTTAAGAACTCGCTGTAAAATAAAGCTATAAGAAACTAAAGTAATACTCAAAGAAAAGAAGCGACTATACAAAATAGAAAATCTTAATAAGTTAAAAAAAATTTATTAATAAAAAAAAAAAAACTGTAGTCAAAAAAATAATATACCTAAACATTTACTGTTTTTTTCTTATTTTTAGAGTGCTTGTTATTTTCCACTACCATAATTGATACAAGTCGAGGAAAAAAGTAGATAAGAATATATAGAAAAGAAAAATATTTTTTGATATACAATTTTTTCACAACTTTTTTCAGTCAGTATATTAAGGAAATACTTTATAAATTGCTCTAGAAATATGGACAATTTTTAAATTTGTTTTTCAAATGTCTTTGCTAGACTTTACTGTTTTTATCAATGCACAGGAAAGCAAGAAAACTAATTGCTATTTATTTGTGAAATTTTTTTTTTTAAAACGTTTTTTTTGGAAAAAAATGAAATAATACTGCAAAATTTTGTGGGCTACTGCATTATTAATTTACTGAACTTTCTTAATGAACTTTTTAGAAGCCTATTTAAAACTTTTGTTTAAGTTTTTAAATACATTTTTTTAAACAGAGCAATGGTTATGTTCATTATCTCTAGTAACTCGTAATAACATTGGAAATTGGGCAATATAATAGAAACAACTTCATACCATGCATCAAATATGGTAAATACATTTATTAAAGAAACTATGTTATTCTTTTATTTAACTTATTCAGTCATTAACAAAATTTCTTAATCAAAAAATATCTTTTACAAATAAGTAAAAATCAATTTTCTTATTTTCCTATTATATAAGTATTGAGAAAAAAAGTCAAATATAGCAAAAACTTTTTTAAAAGCGAAGCGACGTAAAAATGAATAAACGTAAGAAAAAAAAATTAACAAAATTTCTTAAAGGTCTAGCGTACATAGTAAATTAGTTTCTTAATTATATAGACTGATAAAAATTATGAATAAATTGCATATCAAACTTTCAATTGTTGTTAAATCGTTATAAAAGATATTTTTTTTTTCAACAACAACTCTAAAAAAAAGAATACAAAAGTTGTATAAAAATTTTATTAAAAAATTTATTTATTTTATTTTATTTTTTTAATTAATAAATTTTAAATTAATAAATAATAAAATTTATTTAATTAGACTTGATATTTCATTACAATTTTGCTTCCTTATTTAAGAATTTTTTTTTTCTCCTGAGTAAATAAGTTCAGTTTTTTGCAGCGAATTATTGAAATGCTTGATAAGTTAAAAGATGCAAATTGTTGTAGTCAGCGTGTCTAAAAAAATTACTTTAGGCATGAACACACAAGGCGACTGCACACCTTTCCCGAAACAAGGCTTGATATATATATATATATATATATATATATATATATATATATATATACACACACATACTTGAATATCTAGTTGTAATGTGAAGAAAGGTTGCAAAGTAGTTGACTCCTTTACTCCGCTTTGCTGAACTGATGATCGAATCATGCCACCAAAAATCTGCTTTATTATTGTACTATCTGATGATGGATTAACCTGAAATTTTCAAAATTTTTCAATCAAGCAATATATAACTTGAAAACTTATTTTAAATAAAAAAATATTATCAAAATGAACTAAAATAAATAAATAATTAAGCTAGCAGCAAGGAACCAGCAGAAGGAACTTTTCAATGTAAAATAATAATAAAAAAATAAAAAAACAAACTTGTTCCACACAAGTTTGTTAATACAACACATATTTATAGTGTTTAAACCTTTTTAGCAAGATCTTTTTTTTTGGTACCAACTTGAGACCAAGAACTATCATCATTTTCATTATCCAAATCTGCATTATCATTTCCATTGGGTGTTTTTTTTGATAGCAGTTTGTTTAATGCAACTAGCTCATCATGAATGCCATTTAATAAATATGATAAAAATTCTTCAGCATCTTCCTGACGACCCTGAATAAAGTTAAAGTACAATAATGAATCAAAAATTTAAATATATATATATGTTTTTGTTTATATAAAATAAATAAAAATAAAAAACCTTTTCTGATAAAGATGCCTTCATTGTAGTTAAAACATTGTATATACATCGTGGTTCAAACGAAGCACCAGTTTTTATATCTTCACTTTGTTTTTTTAATGAAATTTTCGGATTTATGGATTCAAATTCATTAAAAAAAGCAATCCTAAATTAAATAAATTACTAAAAACACAACCTTAATAAAACTTTAACTTAGACTTTAGGCTAATGGTTTTGTCAAGTTTTAGTTAAGTTAAAGGTTTTCAATGAAATTATTTAAATATACAGTTACAACATCTGATTGTATTTCATAAACTAATTAAGCAACAAGAGCAAGAAATACATTTTTTTTCTTCTTTAATTTCAAATTAGTCACTTTTTTCTTAAAAAAGCTATAATTCGTATAAGAAAAGTATATACTACAATATATAATAACAATATATACTATAAAATATACTAAAAAACCTTTATTTAAAACATAAACTAGAATTCTATCAGTTAAAAAATATACTTACATACTGTCAGTTAAAGGGGTTGAGGTGTAGCTTACATCTGTATTTAGAAATGTCTTGAGAGACTTATAAAAATGAGATATTGGAGAAATTGCAAGAAGAGCTTGTAATGTTGTATTGATGTAACACCAATTACCTCTATTGATCAAACCACGAAGTTGCAGGTGATGACATGAAAAATCTATCTTTAAATTGGATATGGATTCTAAAAAGATTAAAATGATTAACTAAAACTTATCTATACTTAAGGCTCTATTACATATTCATATCTATTATAAAATATATTACTTGTGAAAGTTTTATAAATTTATTATTCATTTGAAAAGAAGATGTATGTATGTACTTAACAAAAATTATTAGGATTATTTTACATCAACAGTCTATCATGCGCCAAATAAATTGTTAAGTTATAAGTTTGGTCTTTTTTTAAATTTGCACAAAAATGTTTTGAGAAATGAAAAAGAAACAAACTTTTAAAAGCACAAGGTATGCTTTTTATTAATTCAATAAAAATAAATCAGAACTTTTTGCAATTAAATCATATTAACAGAAAATCATTGAACTTTGAAAATATAAAACAAACTTTTGTAACCCCATTTTTTAATTTCTAATTTCAACCCACTTTTTAATTTCTAATTTCATTCACTAAAGGCTGTTTATTAAAATTCATGAAAAGTTTAAAGGCTAAAAAATTGCACACTCGAAAATTTTGGTAAACCCAAAAGTTTTATTGAACTCAAATGCTTTTTATTTGATTAGAAACTTTATACTTACTTACAATAGACACTTTTCTAAGAAAATGATGCCAAGATAAAGTTACAGATAAGGAATGAATTTTATTTATTAATTCCTTATCCGTAACTTTGTTTTAATCACCCATTAATCTTACAGTAAAAAATATATTAATTTTTCACTAAATTTAAAATGAACCAATTAAAAAGCATTTTTCTAAAAGGGAGCTAAATTCATTTTTTCTAAAATTGAGTTTTTTCAACATTCTTTATTAAAAAAGGTACAAATCTAACTATGTTGTATGAAAAAATTGTTCATCTTCATTTACTTTAACAAAAATATTGAGATTCAAAAAATTTCTGATTAATTTTTTTTATTTTTATCAGAACAATAAAACATTCATGTTTGATCAATGTAATAAAGTTTTATTTTTAGTCATTAAAGCAGGATTTCATTCAACTGTATCAAAGCAATCTTATATGTATATAAATATATGAACCCCCGCATCCAAGACATTGATGATATATCTTATTCAACTTTGGTTCAGAGCACAATCAATAGTTATAATGCTTTTTAATAAAGATTGAATATTGAACAACTCATCGCCAGATAAAATATAAAAAAATGCAAAATTTAACCAAAAAATGTCTATCAGGTTTTTTATTTCTGATAAGAGTCTCAAAACATACTTTATCCCCAACAACCTTGCAGCAAAATCTTTGCTTTGACCATTGCAATAGGAAATGACTAGCTTTATTAAAAAATATCATGATGATATATACTTATTTTGACCCTGTTTTAGCATGAAATCATTATCAAAATAGTGACTTTATCATAGATGATCCAGGTCATATTTAAAAAATCCGGAAAATTGTTTGCTTAAAATATCCGGAAAAAATCCGGAATTTTCATCCCCTTATTTTCCTCTTAATTTTATTTTAGCTGAGTTGTATCTCAATTTTTTTGGGAATTTCTTTAATTTTTGTATGAGTGATGACTAAAAAACCTTAAAAATCAAATATATTACACAAATATATACTTAAACTTGTATGTATAGAAAACCTTTTGTATATCCGGAAAAACTAATTATCTTGAAAAATATCCGGAATTCCGGGAATATCCGGAAAAAGATAATCCCTGCTTTATTCTTAAAAAAAAATACCATATATTTTGTGTCAAAAATGGATAACCTACAAAACTTCCAGAATATTGCCTAATTGAAGATTGTAAAAGAAATGCCCTATGCTGAGAACTAGAAATCAAAAAAAAAATTATATTAAGATAAATAGCTGCCTCAAAAAAATTGACAAAAATATTGCAAAAGCCCTTGCCGAAGCAACTTGTCCTGGAATTCGGAAAATCAGAAATAATAGAGTGATAAAAGAAGTTTAATATTGAAACTAATAAAGAAATAATTATTCCTAATTAAGGAATAATTATATATTTAATATTCCTATTTTTATACATTATATTATATTATACATTTGCATTTTTGTTTAGTTTGAAGCTTAAAGGGACCACCAAGTCCCGAGACATGCTGTGTTCATATTAAAGAGAATGTTAAAAAAAAAAACGTTTGAGCAATTTTTTTTTTTATTTAAACTAATTAATAAATGTATACCAAGAAAAAAAATCTTGTTGTTTTAGTCAAAGCTTGTCTTCTACATTTTCTGCGGTATTTGGAGTCTTTAAAATAAACGTGATTTTCCAGGCGCATTATACAGACTTGATAATTTATTCAAGTCCATTTGATTCATAGGAGTTTTAGTACATGACGCCATAGATTTTTTTGTTTGTTTAAAACACCAATTATTTTTTACATACAGCTTCCAAATCATATTAATTTTTATTATATTTTAAAGTTCTAAAATGAGTTTGTAAAAAAATTATAAACAATATAATATTTTATTCGCGCAATTTTATTTTTAAATAATCGTCTAGACCACATGTATTTTAATTTCTTTTGCTATAAGTTTTTCTTTCAAAATATTAGATAAAATAATTTTTAACTTAAAATAATAATGCACTTTTATTAATTTACCTTGTAAATATTTAAAAAAATTATTAATGCATTTTTTCTTTGATTTTTAAAAATGTATTTTTTGGTATTGAGGTGATCTTATTTCATAATTTATATTTCCATTATTATAACATTCAATATATAGTAAAATATTTAGTAAAATTTAATAGTAAAATTTTAAAAGAATTTCTAGAATGTTTCTAATGACATCATGTACTAAAACTCCTATGAATTAAACGCATATGAATAAATGATCAATTCTGTATAATGCGCCTGGAAAATTGCTTTTATTTTAAAGACTTTAAATACAGCAGAAAATGGAGAAGACAAGCTTCGACTAAAACAACAAGATTTATTTTTCTTGGTATACATTTATTAATTAGTTTTAATCAAAAAAAAATTTGCTCAGACGTTTTTTTTTAACACTCTCTTTAATATGAACACAACATGTCTTGGGACTTAGTGGTCCCTTTAAAAACTCTCATATTTATTCTTGTATGGAATAGTGTTGTCATACTTAGGCTGATTTTTCTAATGATGCCCACTCTTTTTTAAGACAAAAACGAAGTGTAAATGTTGTTGGACCTGCTAGGCTTGAGCTTCTGTCTCGTTGTCATAAAGTTGATCGTTATTATAATCCATCTCTTTTCTATATTATATTATACTATTTTTTATACTATTAGTAATAAAAATGTGCAGTTAAACGACATGATGTGGTTAACAAAATTAAGATTACCAGTATTAAGAATAACAATTTTGAAAAAAATTTTAAATAATGTCTTAGATATTGACAAATATGTCAATGTCAAATGATTGATATATTTTGATAAAAATACATTAAAACTTTTAGTAAAATATTTTTGCTTTATAGGACATTTAAGATAATTTAAAAACTATTATCAAGCCTTGTGATAAATAAAACATCAACTAATAGAATTTTTAATGTCATAAATTCTTTTTATTTATTAATTTTTTAAAATTATTGCAAAACTATTTTAATCAAATAATCAATTCACATCAATGTAGAATTGTTATCATGTTATTGAATGTTTACTTAAAATATAAAAATGTTTGTTTATTTTCTTCACATTTGACACAATCATGTTTTGTTTATAACTAAATGAATATAAAACAATTTTATTTTATTTCTTGAATAAGTAATAAGAGTTTTGCAAATAAAAATTTTTTAATTTTAAAAAATTTACCAGTAAAAAATTTAAATAAACACTGAGTAATAGTCAACTTTTTTATTGGCAATTTTATCTAAAATTTGAATATATATATTTTTTGTTGAAAAGGTTGATATGTGCTTGTGTTATTCAAATGACTTTAATGTACGCTTTCTTTTAATTTTTCTTTCTTTTCACTTTTAATGCTTACAAGGAACTTAATAATAAAAAGAGTAGATAAAGACTATACATTTTTTTTAGATAATAGAAACATAAATACATATATCTTTCTGTTTGTTTTTGTTTAAAAGATAAAAAACATATGCTAAAAAAAACTTTGTTTTATTCAAAGCTTGCTGTCTCGATGTTAGTATGACTTTTAAGTCTTTAAATATAAATATTTTTTTTCTCATCATGAATTACTAATTAATTTCTTTAGTTAATTTATTTTCTAATTTTTATTACATTAGCATGGAAATGGTGTGCTTTGACTAAAACCACAAAGTTTTTCTTAGTATATGTTTATTATTTTGTTTTAATCAAAATAGTTTAGCCCAAACATTTTTATAAACATTCTTTTTATATGAACACAACTTGTCATGGCACTTTAAGATCTCTTTAATAGATCTGCAAAGCCAAAAACTTGTAGAAAAAAAAGAAAACAGCTTTTTAGAAGTCACAGTTAGGGCAAGGCTGCTGGTCTTTCATTTCTTTTAGCTGAGATATTAAAGGCTTCAGAGTATGTGGGTGTTCAGCGGGTCATATCTTTACAATATATGCATGATAAAATTCCAAATAACTGGAAAAATTGAAAAAATTAAAAAAGTAGAGAATGTGGTTCATATCAAGGTTAATATTACTTGAATGCAAAAAAATAAGAAGGAATAATTGGGATTGTGTGCATATTGTTGATAAATGTATTTATCAACAACACTCACTGTTTGGCTTTAACCAAGAAAAGGAACAACAAGTGCAATACTTGTTGTAAAGCAAATTAAAGAAAGATTTTGGAAAGAAAAAAGAAAAATTTTTGGAAAGAAAAAAGAAAGATTTGTGGAAAGCAAAAAAAAAAAAAAGATCAGTAAATATCATTTGTTAATAGAGTAGTGTATTGCACTTATGAAGTAGTTAGGTGTTGAAGAATGTAACAGTTTGTGTATGAAAATATCACAACAGTAATCAAAACAAAAGATGGCAATAGTATATAACTAGGGTTAATATTTAACAAGGACTGGGTTTGATAAAATGAGAGAGGAAGAATAAAAATTGACAAATACTATAAATGATTTGCACACACACAAGTACTATATTCATAGATATATGTGTATGTGTGCATATATACAAATATATACATATAATACTTACTAGCAAGCTTTATTGCTCTTACATCGTTTTCCATTCCAACAACAGTTATACAATTTTTTACATCCACATTATGAGTTTCCATTTGCACAGAAATAATTTTTTCATTATTGATAACACTGGAGCTGTTTTCTGCAGTAGAAGAATTAAACAAAGAAGCCCATGTTGATCGATTTTTACTAGGTTCTGAACTTTCAAAACTTTTTATTTCTGTATTAACTTCATTTGTTTTTAATGGTTTTTCTGAAAGGAACTCAATATTTTCTTGTGATCCATACTTGTCTGAAATAGTAATTTGATCAATTGAATGCAAATTGTTTGATAATTCACCAAAAGACACACTTTCTGATTCCAGATCTTTTATAGAACCAACTAAATAAAAAGTTTACTGAAAACTATTGTACATAAAAACTTTTAAAGAAAACTCATAGATTTAAGATTTAAATTTTTTTTTGATTTCCTAAAATGCATCTATAGTATTTTTTGACTAACTCAAAAAATACATGTAATCATTAAAATCAAATTAAAATCATTAAGGACTTTAAATATTTAAGAATTTTAACTTCATTTAAATAACATGTTCTTTAAATAACAGGTCTTTAAAGATTACCCTTGTTCAAATTCAAATCAAAACAAAAATATTTAAACCATTAACGTATATTACTTATTTTTATTTAAACTGTTGTTTTAATACATAAGGTTTGTTAAAACAACAATGTTCAAAAGTATTAAACTGAACAACATGTATTAAACTGAACAACTAGTACACATGGTCATACTACTTTAAGCGTTAAACCAAATAGTTTTTAAAAGTAGTATGACCATGTGGACAGTTATTATAATTTTATTTATGTACTTTATATTATAACTCATTCTGCTGTATGATAGCATTATGTTAAATATTAAACTCTAATCATGGCCTAAATTTCCTACAAAAAAAACAAAAACAAAAAAATAAAGAAAACTGGCTTATGCTGTTTATCATGCTACATAATGGGTACACTATTTTGATGTTAAAATTTTTATTATAAAAAATTTAAAATAGGAAACATAGTATTTAATTACATTGGTGTTAAGTATTTAACTCTAACCTTTAAACTTTAAATAAAACTATCCAAGTTAAACAATATTTTTATTAAATAGCAGACATTAATAAAAAATAATGTTCTTATTTAAATTTTTATTTACAAGATTTAATTATTATTTACAAGATTATATTATTTACAACAATATTTATTATTTACAAACATTTTCACTGCTTTTAGTTTAGACATAATTTATTTTTTATTTATTTATTCAAATATTATTTATTTTTATTAAGTTTTACAGGGATCCCTAACTGCCAAAATATATTGTGTTTATTTCTAAAATAATCATTAGAAAGTAAGTTTAAAGTAAATGAAACTTTCCAAAACAAACTATTTATTGAAACAAATTTTAGATTCATGAATTAGCATAGTTTTTTTTGTTATAAAAATATCTGGTTTGCATATTATAATATAAAGAATATTAAATGCGTGCGCTCAATGTAGAGTTTTTTAAACAATTTAGTTTATAGAATTAGATTAAATTTTTCTTTTTTATAGATATTCTGAAGTAGTAACAAAAAAAACCTTTGAACAAAATGAAAATTGTAATTAAGTGAAGGATACCTCATCTCTACTTTTATTTAAAAAATACAAAGTATATGTTTTCATCTACAAGCGACAAATCAAATTTATTTGTATCATTTTCCACTAAATTCCCAAAAAAGTATTTTTGGTTTTTTGATTTTATTAGGGCAGTTAAACATAAACATAAGGATAACTTATAACTTGATATTTCCAATTAAGAAAAAAAAAAAAACAGTCTAAGTGCTAAGAATCAAACTTTTGAGGAGAGATGAAAAGCCTATTTAACACATAACAAAACAAAAAGTTGTTATTACTTTTAGAAAAAACATGATTTCCTCAAAAATATCACTTTTATTAGATTAGTAAATCTAATACAAGTGAAAATACTTTTGTTTTTAAAATAAATTAGCTTTGTTTATATATAAAAGCCAAAAAAAAAAAACGTAAAGAAAATAATCTATAGATTTAGATTTATCGATTTTTAATGTTTACTAAAAAATTTTTCCTTATATAATTCGGTTGTTGGTTATTTTTGATGTGATGGTTTTAAGACAAAAAAATTATTGTTTTTAAAGTATTCACAAGTTTATTGTATTAACGTGTTGTTATTATTGAACAGCTTAGCAAAGTAACCCTGCCTTTTTGGCTTCTGCCAGACTTAAATGTTGCACAGACCATTTTTAAAGCAACCAATAGAAGATTTTATGCTTAATTAGATTTTTTTTTGGTTCAAAACAATTATTACTGAATAAAAAATAAATTATATTACGTACCACCCAAATTCCAAGTTCACAATTTTTATTTTAACCACCTCATAATTCTTATCTTGCCATATCACATGGCAACACAAAATACTCAAAACTAAATTTATATTTTGATCAAACTTAATCAAATTTATTTGGGAATATTTAAATTATCTTTTAGTTAGGAATGCACTGCAATTATTTTTAATATTTCAGGCCAGAATGCCAGATTTTATTTTTTAAGACATGCGACACAGACTGTGTAAATTGAATCAAAAAATTATTGTCCTACAGGGCAATGAAGAACCATAGATAAAAAATAGGTAAAAAATACAAAGGTAAAAAATACAAAATTTTAAACAAACACAATGTAGATTTATTTGTAATAATCAATTATGTAAGGATTTCTGGAACTTAACGAATATTGTGGTGCAAAAAGAGTTGCTCTCTAGTTTCGGGCAACAAACTACCTCTTTTTTCATCAAAAATGTTTAAAGAAAATAAAGTAATAATTTTAAATATGAATAAAATGCAGATTAAAACTTTTAATACATACAATTATAAAAATAAATAAAAACAACATATTAGATTTAAATGAAACAAAAATCAAATCAATGAATTAGGTAATATATATATATATATATATATATATATATATATATATATATATATATATATATATATATATATATATATATATATATATATATATATATATATATATATATATATATATATATATATATATATATATATATATATATATATTATGCATTATAAGTTATAATTATATAGCCACGATGCTGAATTGTAGGCTTTCACTTTAATCTTTAAGGTAAAAAATAATATAAAAATAATACTTGTTCCGGCCGGAACATTATTAACAATTCCAGCAAATCTAGTTCCAGACGGAATCTAAAATTTCTACCTCCACATTTAATACCATTTATGTGATGTTATTTCAGAAAATAATAAGTCATAAAAAAAAGCATTAAATTGCAACTGTAAATATTTTTGGCATAAAAACTGAATATTTATTTTATTTTTTTAAAAGACTTTGAATTGAATATGATTTTGAATATTTAAATTTAATCTTATGTAAAATGATTAAGTAAAAAGTAAAATGTTAAATTTAGTTTCAAAGGAAAAAAGTAAAAGAATTTAGTAAAAGAGTTTTGCATTATTCATTAAAGAAATTTTTTTCTTGCTTAACTAACTGATTACATAAAACATAAATCTCTTCATTGTAGATTAAAACACATGAAAGCAAATATAAAACTTAAGTTATTTATTATAAATAAGGGAAAAGTGTTTTTGTTTAAAAAAATTCTTTACACAAATGTATATAAAATTTTTTGTTTCTTATTAATTTAATTTCGTGACGTAAGTTATTTATCAACATAAAGGAAAATAAATTTTTTCAGATTTTTTTATCAGTAGTTATTGTTATATTAGTTTAAATGATTTTGTTATATTAGTTTAAATGAGTTTAAAATTAAATTTTATAAACAACGCTGTACTTTAAAATACGCTAATAATGTAATTTAATTTTTAACGATGTAAATAATTCCTTACACAACAAAATCTCATAACAAGGCCTGTAGGTCCCAAGGAAATCCCATACTTTAAAAAGCCTATATTGATTTGCAATTAGGGACCTATTTATGTGGTTTACATTTATAAATCATAAAGTTTAACCTGTGCGAGAACCAATGCAAATATTGCAAAACTACTTGTATTTTGTCAAACATGAAAGAGAAATTGTAATTTAGTTATAAAATAATTTTAACAGCTTATTTTAAATAAAACAACCATTAAAATTAGGGGTGAGTGTCAATAACCCAAAATTTAAATTTCTACTAAAATAAATAGTGTCCTTAAAAGTGCACTAAAAATTATTTAGAAATAACAGCAGGCCTTGTTTAAAGTTTAAAATGACTTGCCATTTATGTATGGATTAAGCAATTTAATGTATGCCATAAGCTGTTTCACTCAAGCCAGTTTTTAACATTTTTAATATTTAAACAAGTCTAAAGACATCGTTTAAGCAATAAGATAAAAGAAGTAATTAACTTTATAAAAATCACTTATGAAGATGTAATGACAATTATTTAAAAAAAAGTTTGAATGACAATTACATTTGATATTAGCGCTATTTACAAATGTAATAAGTTGAGAAAAAACAAAGAAAATTTTATTTTTATTATTTTAACTTTTCCATAAAAAATAATCACCAAAAAGGAAAAAAAAAAAAGTTATATGATACATAAAAAAAAAATCATAAAAAAAAAAAAATATTTAAAAAAACTCTTCTTTATTATATTTGAAACACAATGATATTTATTTAGACAATTTCTCATAACAAACAATAATAGAATAGAATAAAAAAGATGTTGTACACATTTGAGGTGTGCTGAGTCTTAATTACGTAGAATTAAGTAGCCCTGTGTTGCACGAATTTAAGATTGTTAATGTTCTTCTTCCAAAATGGATTCCAAACTGTTGCTCCATATTCCAAATGAAGACGTACTAACGATTTGTATAGTAACTTTAATGAAAATTCATCTAAATACCCAAAAGAATTTTAGATCATGCCTAATTTTCTGTTTGCTTTGCCTATAGCTGAATTAATATGATATTTCCACTCTAGATTATTTAAAATGAAAATCCTAAGATCTTTTTCTAATGTTCTTTCTATTAAAACAGATTTGTTCAATGTATATTCATATACACAACATTTTGATTCATTAAATTTAATTAATCAATCTTCAGACCATTTTACTAATATGTTAATGTCCTCTTGTAATAATTTATTATCATCATGACAATGATTGATTGAAATAACTTTGGTATCGTCTGCATATAATTTAGTGACTTTAATAACCCCTCTAAATAAGTCATTAATGAAGATTATAAATAAACGAGGTCCAAATACTGAGCCTTGAGGTATCCACTAGTAACTATCTTCCAACTTGAAATATATTCTCCTATCACCACCCTCTGAGTTCGATCTGACAAAAATGATTTACACCAATTTAACAAAGATGACCCGAATCCCAGTCTAAATAATTTTTCCAGTAATTTCCTGTGAGATACTGAATCAAATACTTTTTTGAAATCCAAAAACAAAACATCAACTGAAATGTCCTCTTCATGCCCTTGCGTGATTAAATCTAATGTTTTCAATAGGTTTGTTATACAACTTTTGTCATTAACAAAACCATGTTGCTCTTTAGAAATTAAATTGTTTTCAATAAGAAACACCATCATACAATCTCTAATAACTCGCTCCATAGTTTTACCAAGGATTGATGAAACCGATCTATTATTTGTTGGATCTAGTTTATTGCCCTTTTTGAATAATGGAACAACTTTTGCATATGACCATAACTTTGGAATAGTTCCTGTACTAAAGGATTTATGAAATATTAATGCTAAACAACTCACCAAAGATTCTGAACATTCCCTTAAAACTTTCTGGAGCTACTTATTGATACATGTTTAAACTACTCAAATGTTTCAGAATAATAGAAATACTAAAATATGGATCAGGACATTTTTTAAAAAGATTGTTGCCTAAAACTTCTTCTAATGAATCATCTTGAATAAAAACAGATGCAAAAAATTCATTAAGAGTGTTTACAATCTCTTGATTATCAGTAGTTATAATCCTATTATGAAGCTTTATTGCTTTGATAGAGTCTTTAAATCTTGTTTTGTTACTTATATATGCAGACACTTTTAGGATTGTTTTTTAAATTAGGTGCCAAGTTTCTTTCAAAATTGCGAATACTTTTTTTGACAAGTTTTTTTTTATCTCTTTATTCAATTTTTTATACTTATTGACTTCTAAAAGACTTGATTTTCTGTTTCTAAACCAACTTTTTTGTTTTTCTTTACACATACTTTTAAGTTCACTTGTCATCCACAGTGAGTTGTTTTAGTGTTAAAAAGAATTTTTATCTAAATTTTGTGCTAAAAAATATTTTTCGCACCCTATTTCACATTTTCGAAGCCATTTTTTGTAACATTCATTAACACCAAGTCTTTCAAATTTTTGTACCCAGTTATTGTTATTAAAATACATTTTTGTATAATAAAATAAATTTTTTGTATAATAAAATTGTATAATAAAATAAATTTTGTACCCAGTTATTGTTATTAAAATACAAATCTAACACTTTATAGTTTCACTTTTTCCATAATTTTTTTTTCTTCCTTATTGTTTATTGTGATATTAATAAATTAGACCTATTTTCATTTTTTTTTAATTAACTATTACATTATTTATGCTAAATGCAATATAACTCTTCCAATGCCTTAAATTTAAATTTATAAGAAAAATAATAGTTTAGAAAAATAATATTATATAATAGTTACATCAGCATTATATAATTAAAAAAATGTGCAATACCAAAAAAATGAAAAAAGAAATTTCCTTATAATTTAGAAAAAAAAAAATTAAAAAAGTTATATAAATTCCTTGTAAACATATTATAACATATATAGCATCAAAAAATGTTCATAAAGCATACTTTATTGAAATTTTTTTTGTTCAATATTTTTTAATAAATGGCACTTGGAAACTTAAATCTTGGTTTGTCAAAAAGAACTTTTCTTTTTGACAAACCAAGATTTAAGTTTCCAAGTCTTTTTGACAGGTAAAGTAATTGAGTTTTTTTTTTGCAACAAGTAATATCTTTTGTTTTTATTTAATTTTATAAGTTAGCAATAATTATTTTTAAGCTGCAACTTTAAGAAAAAAAAAACATTTTTCAACTCATTCATACAAATGTAGAGAAAAGAAGAAAATTAGTTTATGTTAAATTACAATAAAAAATTGTAATAAAAAATAAAATGTAATAATAAATTTTTTTAATATTAAAAAAATTAAAATATAGATTGATTCTGCAGATTCTGCAATATGTACATTTACAAAATAACACTTCTAGATTTATTTTTCTTAATTTGTAAATTAAACTTGTTTTGATGTAATTTATTTTAGTTTAAAAAAGTTAATGTCCATAAATAAAATAAAAAATAAAGAGAACTTTATTTGAAAACCATGATAAACTAACACGCTAAGCCATTTTTATTTAAAACAAGGCCATATTATAGATGTGATGAATAGTGATTTAACCAAATACCAAATATTCAGCTCGACACTCAGCTAAATCACCAAATATTTGGCAACACTTAGTATTATTTTGAAGGTTCTGATCTGCTTCATTGAAATGATTTGCTAGCTACTCTATGAGCATTTTTTGTTTCTAGGCTGTGCCACAGCAAACATTGCTTGTTGACTGTTACATGAAATTGTTTAAACTATATTTACTAAAAGTACTCTTTAAACCTTTCAAAAAAATTACAAAAATAACACAGGTATATATTTTGTTTCAGACATAATTTCAGAAGTTGTTGTAAATAGATATAGCATAAAGAACTCCAAACATACTAAAAATAATATCTTTGTTACAACCTGGACGTATGGTTGCCTTTTTTTGCTCTCTGATATATGACACACATGTGTGTCACACCAGAGAGCATAAATTTTTTTGCTTTTGTTTTGCTTCTTCTGCTTTAATTAATCTCTTGAAATTAGTTTCAAAACATGCATCAATAAAAAAGGCAACCATATATCCAGGTTGTAGTGAAGATATTATTCTTAGTAGGTTTGGAGTTCTTTATGCTATATCTATCTATCTATATATTAACTTCTTATGTATAAGAAATTAATATTAGATCATAAGTATCAAACATGCTAATAAAGTATCCAAGTAGGCCGAGCACCAAATAGTCACCAAATGACATCTCTAATATATATATATATATATATATATATATATATATATATATATATATATATATATATATATATATATATATATATATATATATATATATTAGTTTAATATATCTTATTGTAAAAAGCATTTCTTTGAATGTATTATTTAGCAGTTACATTTATTAAAATTATGGTAAACTTATTTATTAAAAATAAGATATAATTAGAAAATTTGCTTACATTTAATAAATAACATTTACTTAGGATTTTTTTTTTTAATTAAATATATTGAAGTTTAAAAATAACTAGAACTTAGAACTTAAATTTAAAAAACTTAATAAAACTAAAAGTTATTGTATCATTATTATTATTTCAGAGAAAAAACTTTCTGAAAAGTTTTTCTTTTGTTTTTTGATTCTTAAAGTAAAATGAATTAGTTAGATAAAGATCAAAAGTTTAATCATTTAAAAATTAAATTGGTGCGATTACTATATTGTTATTTAAAATTTTTTACTTTTGTTCATTTATTATTAAAAACAGTTAACTTTTAATTGCTAACAAGCTCAAGTTAACATGAACTCAGTAAAATAAACATCAAAGTAGTTATTTACTGCTGCATTCGAAACCAAATTTTTTTTTCTATTTTTACTAATAAAGCAAAAGAAAAAAATTTCATTTTAACTTTCAATTTTCCAATTTTAATTACACTGTAATTTTATTCAAGTTCACTGCAAATATAATACAAAGATATGTTTAAGTTGTCAACTAAAAAATCAAATCACCTTCATTCACCCATGCCTGTGTTGAATTATGTAAGTCTCCACATAAGAACTAAAACAAAATAAAAATAATTAAGAAAAATGTATAAAAATCACACTTTAAGTTTTTTTTATAAAATTTCAAAAAATATAACGATACTGAAAAAATCTTAATCACATACCTCGACACCAATTTTCTCAACTTCAGCATGTTGAAAATAAATAATATATTCATTGATTTCAAAATCTCCAAAAAGTAAAGGCTTCAAAAAGAAAGTAATTATTTAAACAGTAGAAAAAGTAGAAATTATTAAATCATAACAAAAAATTTTATTTTACAATTATAATATTCTTTATTTTAATTTATTTTTTATTTCCATTAATTTAAATCTTTTTTTCAGGCAATTTACACTTGGAAACATCTGGAAAAAAAGTGTTTTGTAAAACCACTATAATATAAAAACTAATATAGACACTATATTATAGAATTATAAAAAAACTAGTATAAACAATACATAAATTATAATTTGCAATATATAGCCTCTTTTTCAATTACCTGACAGCAGCACTAATTTGAAAATTTTTATTTTGTTTTACAAGTTCTTCTTGTATAAATAATTTTTTTTTTTGCATTACTAGGTTTTTCTTAAGTTATTAGGGGCGACTAATGTAATTAGTGACCCATAATGACTTCTGATAAAAACTGTCTTGTAGATAAGCATTTTTTATAAAGATTTATTGCTCAATATAATAGTGAAAGGACATTCTCTTTAAGGTTTTTATAATAAGATTAATCAATGTGTTTATAACCTTTTTGCGTAAAGAGCTAGAGCCTTTATCTATTTAAGATTCGTTTTTATTGATATGAGGGGAGAACGAAAATTGCAAATTAAAAAAATGAATTAGCTGCGCATGAAACATCGCTTAAAACTTCATATTATTGTATTTGTAGAGGTTTCAGTACATACATCAACTAAAATTTTGGGTTGGCACTATCTACATAAGATGGACATTATTTCTTGACATTGAAATCGAAGATATTGAAAATTGGTAACACATTAAAGACATTGAAAATTGGCAACTTAATTGTGACTTTACCTTATTTACATCAAACAGTGTTCCATCATTTGGGTTCATATTATTTTATTTCCAATCCAATAAACGTGTAAATAGTTTCATCATTTTTTTTTGCCTATGAACGCATTTATGCTAAACCTGGCAAGAACTAATATAGCATGTTGCATGTAGCATGTTTATTTGTTTCGAAGTGCAGCCATCATGGTATGCAATGTGGGTATTAAATTATCAAGGGGGATATATTTAAAACCAATGTTATTCCTACATATTTGTAAAGAATTAAATACATATATATATTTAATATAACATTAATAATTTTTTTAGACACGCTAGTACATTCTAAAAAAAGATTACTGGCTTAAAAAATAATAAGCACAATTTACCTAAACCCCCTGCATCGAATATATTTACAAATACGGAGAAACTAAAAACGGTCAATGTACTTGTAGTCACATAATCACAGATTGTAATCACAGATTGTCATACCGTCTTCTATCTTCATTAAAAGCATGAGTGGAAAGCTATTCACTCTTGAAGAAGTTAGATCACATAATAATGCAAAATCTTGTTGGTTAGCAATACATGACAAAGTGTACGATGTTACTAAATTTATAGACGAGGTAACGTCAAATGTGTGGAACGTAAATTAATAATGTATTATATTTAATAGGCTCAATATATACAACCTATTACATTTCACTCATTTAGTTGTTTTTGTAAAATGAAATGTTTATGAATAAAGGTTAGTGTTCACAAACACTGACAGTATGTATTTTTTGTATAAGTATTTTTTTATTAACTAAAAAGGTACAATTGCGAAAAATTAGCACCGTTACTGCAAAAACTCACTGCCGCCCACCTACTTACCCCACCCCTCCAACCTACCCCTCAATAATGTAGAATATGCTGGTTAAAAGTTTTTTTAACAACATAGAATTGAAATTTAATGAAAACTTTTCTAGTTTAATGCCATAGTTAAAAAATACAACAAAAATTAAAATTAATTGCACATTTGAAATGATCATGTTGGGTATATAAACTTTATCTAGATAAAGCTTGGATTTGTTTAAAAAAGAAAAATTATGTTATCTAATTTATGAATATATTTTGATTTGTGAAAAAACAAACTTGGTAAATCTGCAGTTAAGTGGCTGAAAATAATTATATTTTTGCGCTCTTGTTCTTATAGATTTTAAAATATCTTGGTATATTTATTATAAATATTATAGTTATTATTATAAATGCTTTTGTTTTTAATAATAAAAATAACTATTATTATAAATATGTAAACTATCATTATAAATAACTATTCTTATAGTTTTTATTATTAATTTATTGATACACATTTTTACTCTTTTTTTTTTTTTAGCGAAAAATATAATTATTTAAGGTCGCTTAACTGCAGATTTACCTCAAACTTGTTGCATCAAAGAAATAAAATCACTGATATGTATATATGATATTCATTATCAGCTCTCAAATACCTTCTACTAAACCTCAACTTTTTTTTTTTTTCAATATTTGACATGTATTTCATAAATTTTTTTTAAATTTAAAAACAAGTTTCAAAATTTTTTATTGTAAGGTTATTTTCATGTAATTTTGAGTATGAGTGCAGGCCTGGTTGTTTACAAAACACATTTTGTAATAATAAACATATTTACATCTGTCATCTGAGGTTTTTCTGTAACTTCAGTGCAGTGTTATGTTTTTTTTTTTTTTTAAGAAAAAAATTAATAAAATGCTTTCTAATGTCTAAGTGTTTCTTTTTCATTGTCCATTTATGCTTTACGGATGCTTTTATTCGCTTTTTTTAGAAGTGGTTTGGTAAGATTTTTTTTTTTTTTTTTTTAATTTTACTTCATCTCCTCAAGGCCGAGAAGGCCACTACAGACGAGGAGGCTACTTATTTTGTGGCTATAACCCTCTCTCAACTCTATAACTCCGAAACACGAACCTTGACGAACAAAGCCGCTGCGCAGAGAAACGAGTTGAGCGCGGTACTACCAGGGACGTGGTAGGGATCGAACTCCGAACCACTCGTTTATGAAGCGAGCGCTCTACCACTACACCACTACCGCATAAGAAAAACTATTCACTTATCAGAAACATTAACCCCTGAGAACTGCTTGGTTATTTTTTTCTCATTTTCAGCTTTATGTTCAAGTTTGATATGATTTTTGATAAGTAATAAAAGTTGAACATAAAGTTGTTTAGTTATAGAACTGATTCTTAAATTGCATATAATAAAGTTAATGGCAAGTTATTTGCATATAATAAAGTTAATATAATAAAGTTAATGTAAATTACTTTTAGTTGTTGTATATTGTTGATCTACCTTTTAATATTTTATAAATTAAGGTTTAAATAAAAGGCTCTTATAAAGTCAACATTGACTAATACATCTTAGTCGTAGTCCTTTGGTCTGCTTTACTATTATATATTATTATTATTATGAAGTATGAAAGTATGATAGTTGTATAAAAAGTGAAAATGATACATACTTGATAGTTTAATATAAAATCCAGTATGATATTTTTGTAATTTGACTAGCTTTTGTACATTTAGGCCAAACTTAATTTCTAACTTTGAAACTGACAAAATATCAATTTAGTAGTCTAATTAGTTGACAGTTAGAAATTCTAATGAAATATTTCTATAATTTCTTAAGAATTTTGAGTAATTTATGTTTCTCAAAAAGGAAAAAAAAAATCATTTGTTTTGTTTAATGTTTTTTTTTTTTCGTTATTAATTTTGCTTAAAGTTAACACTTTTATATAACTTTTTGTAAGTTTTTTCTTTAAATGTTTACTAACTTCAATGGTTTTGTCATCAATATTAAAAACTATTTATACAAATCATTAGTTTTTGAAGTCATTAATTTTTAATGATATTGTATTGCATCTTATTAATTAGTTTAGTTCGTTAAATATAAAAATATATGTTTTATATAATTATAAAAATATATATTTTTATAACAGTTTGTTTATAAAATATTTAAAATAAATACTAACAAAACATCTAAAGGCTTGAGAATGACATCTTGATAAAAAATAAATAGTAAAACAATTGTAGAGCAGTAGAAGGTGTTTAAAAATTATTGTTGCAAATTGTTTTAACTTTATGCTTTTTTATGATGTTGTAATTACAAGCTGTAAAACTGATTTGGTATTACACAAGTTGTAATTGAAAAGCATATGACATAATTGCGAACATACAAGTTGTAATGAGGCAGACGTGTATTTCAGACACCCTCTTTAGTAAGTCTGTCAAAAAGTCTTATACGAAACAAGTATTGTTGCAAACCATACCCTAGCCAAACCTTAACCCTGAAACTTATGGTTAGGCTCCGGGTTTGTTTTAGGTTTGGCTTAGGGTTTGGTTGGGGTATGGCTTTCAATAAAATAAATTTTATTTTTGGGTTCAGGGTCATATTATGTTTCTCAATAAATGTTACGCGTAAAATGTGAGTCTTTTTTTAAGAACTTACTAAAAGGGGGTGCTTTTTTTTTTAATCAATAATTTTTTTATCATACAAAACACATTAAGGAAGTGGCAGCATATATTTTTCAAAATAGTTGTTTTTTGGGACATCTTTATATATATATATATATATATATATATATATATATATATATATATATATATATATAATATATATATATATATATATATATTTTAAGGTGGCTCTTAAAACAACATTTTTTGAAAATGGCGCTCTGATTCCCTAAAGGTGTTCTATATAATAAAATAATACTGGAATTAAAAAATTTTAAGGGTAGCTCACATCTCATAAACATCAGACGGACCCCTAATATTATTTACAAAAAAAGTTTTTCAAAGTTATATTATGTTGGGTCTCCAAAGAAGAGAAATTATATAAAAATTTCATAAACATCATTTTATAAAAAAATACTACTTAAGATTTTATTTTCAAAAAATGTTGTTTTACAGGGTTATTCATTCTTATATGCGCGTCTATTCATTTTTATATGCGCCTTTATTCATTCTTATATGCGCATTTATTCATTTTTATATGCGCCTTTATTCATTTTTATATGCGCATTTATTCATTTTTATATGCGCCTTTATTCATTCTTATATGCGCATTTATTCATTTTTATATGCGCCTTTATTTATTCTTATATGCGTTTTACAAAAGCAATTGTAAAAAAGCAATTTGAACAAAAAAAAATCATTTAAGCAATTTGTTTTGAAAAAATAGTTTATTTTTTCAAAACAAACTTTTCTTAATTCTAGGTAAACGAGGTTAAAAATACTTAAAACGAGGACTTTTTAAATTCGACGATGGTTTATTTAATTTAGTATTAGTTCTTTGTAATTTTATTATTAAATTTCTTGATTGATTAAGTTATTATTTATCTAATTATTCATTTATCTCGATTTAAATTTACTTGTTTATAATTATTATTAATATCAAATTATACATCCCTATGTTTGTATATGCGTCAACCACCCATAAAATCTCTAATATAATTTAATATAAACGATAAATACGCTTTTAAATTTTTATCTAGACATATTTAAAATATAAATTAGGTTGTTTTCATTGTTATTTATTTAAGAAATGGTTGCCGAGCCAGCGCTTGATTTATATAACTACGCATATGGTTGTAAAATGGAACTATATTAAACTCTGTAGTATCCATAATATTTTTAAGTTTCCTGATTACCTCATCCGTATTTCGAGGCCTTTCTCCCTGTTTGTAAGTATGTTTTAAAGAAGAAAAAAATTCTTCTATTGGATTAAGCTGTGGCGTGTAAGCTGGCAGATACTTAATAGCTATACCATGAGAGGCTAGTGTTTGCCTAACAGAAAGACTCCAGTGGAATTTACAATTGTCCATAACAAGCACCGGCGCTTCCACATTTGCATTCCTAATCGCTGGTGCCATCATTGTAGTTATGAAAGTACAAAATGAATCTGCATTCCAGCCTCCAGTTTTTGTTTCATAAGCAAGCACTCCTATTGTTGAAACAGCACAAATTAAACTAACATTCTTGCCACGATTTGCAGGCGACTGTAAAATTGCTGGCGCACCTCTTAGCGAATAACCATATGTGCTGTTAGTGTGCACATTAAATCCAGTTTCATCCAAATAAATAAGTTTTTCATCTGAAATTCCGTTAATTTCGCTTGCAAATGCATAGCGTGCATTGATAATTCGTGTTGAATTTCGTTCTTCTGGCACATGCACAACACGTTTTCTTGATAAATCCGAGCGTTTGAGTTTTCTTGAAATAGTAGGCTGAGACATGTTGAAGCCTGCTGCAGAAAGATTTTCTTTTATTGTTTCTTGCGTGCAAAGATTGTTTTCTTGTACGCATAATTCGATAATATTTTTTATTTGAGCGTTTATAGGTCTTTCACCTCGTTTTTTATCAGAAGATGACTTGAATGCAGTCATGTCGTCGAATTCTCCTCTGTTTAACTTAACGACAAGATTTTGAACTGTGCACTTCGATAAATTAAGAGAAGTGGAAATGCTTGTTGTAGATTGATTTCTTTCAACTAAATGCTGAGCATTTCAATTTGCTCTTTTGTAACATTTTTCCTTGTTTTACGATTATTTTCTATTCCATCCATAGGGTGAAAATT